TACGAGAGACGCGCCGATTGGCTGCTCGGGCTCTGGGCTGCTCTTCCTCCCACTCCCTCCGACGCACACAGGCGTATATATATATATATACACACACACAGAGCGAGAGAGACGCACTTGCACACGCACATATATACACACAGGCGCAGCAGCCCCGCGCCCGGGAGAGCCACAGCGGCACCCGAAATCTGGCACGGGCACGCAGAAGGCGTCCCGGGAGATGCTCAGCAACAAAGAGAAGGGAAGAAAAAAGCGAACGTGGGAGAGCCCTCGAGCCCACCAAGCAACCTCTTCCTCTTACCCCTGTCAGGTGTTCTTTGTACCTGGAGTGGTTTGTATTGTCATCTGATAGTTGCTCTCTCACACAGCCCACCCCCATCAAAATAAGTTTACAAGGTACATTTTATATACGTCCCCTCAAAGTGCCTTTGGGTCTAACGGAGCAGTCTCAGTAGAAGGCAATATATCTTGGCTGCACATCGTCATGTGCTAAATTCTGCCTTGTGACAAAATTACATGCATATGGACTTTTCCCCTGGAGAACCCAGTATTCACTGGACCCCACTTGCTTTGATCCAGGAGAAATTAAGACTGGAGCCCTTGACCTCCCAAAACCTCAACAGTCGCCACCCCCTGACAGAGCAAATCAATCCAGGGCTCTGCCTACTGACCGGTTATTTTTGAGATTACAAATTAGCAACCTTTGTGGGGTATACTTTTTTTTAATGTGCATATGTGAACCACTAAGAAAGGTAAGCAGAATCTGACAGTCACACACCCACACTGGAAGGTATACAAATGTGGGAGAGGAACCACATGCACGCATGTGAAACTTGTACCATGGGAACACAACATGAAGGGTGCTTTAGTGGTGGAGAGAAGCACTGGAAGAAGCTTGCTTATAATGTGTGTGTAACACCCATTTGGGAAAGAAGTGTAGAAGCTGCAGAGTCGGATCGGGCAACTTGTGGTCTTCCAGCTGGTATGAGACTCCAGCTCCCTTCATCAGTTGCCAGCAGAGCCAATAGTGAAGGATCAGGGGAGATGCAGTCCACCAAGGCACCAAACCCTGCTGTAGAACTCCCTCCTAAAGCTGATAACTACCACCTCTGTCAAGCTGCCCCTGCCATCATTCCCATCCAGGTTGTTTGTGACCCTCTGTATGTTGCTGAAAACAACTCCCATCTTTATGTACTATGGCTATCCCAGTGGTTCTCAACCTTCGGTCCCCAGATGTTCTCAGACTAAAATCCCCAGAAGCCTTCTCCGCTAGCTGTGCTGGCCAGGATTTCTGGGAACTGTAGTCCAAGAACACCAGTGGGGACCCAAGGCTGGGAAGCATTGGGCTATTGCTGATTAGGGATGATAGGAGATGCACTGCAGAAATATCTGAAGAGCCACAGGTTTGCCTCTCTCTCTCTCTCTCTCTCTCTCTCTCTGCATTCTACAAAGGAACCGAGGTGCACATAAAAAGAAGCACACAGAAAATAAAGGATATTGTTGGGAAAACTGAAAAAAGAGGCAATTTTGTTTGAGAACCTGCAGGTATATCACTAGATATCCCCCCCTAACACATCATTCCTGTACACTTTATCAGCAGTTGTTTGATGTGTGAATAAAATCCATGGCAAAGCCTTCTGTCTAAAGGGATGTAAAGGAGTAGGAACAGTTCTGTGTTAGACCTCCGGGGTCTAATTCCCACTTGGAAGCTGCCATCCTCCAGAGAAAGCCGCGCATGTGGGAATTAACCCACTGAGCCAAGATGGGGCAACAGGCATGTGGGAGCTGCAATCTAAAAAATTCTGGAGGCTTGTGTTTTCCCCACTCTAGCCGTGGAGAGCTAATTTTCCGGAGGACATCAGAAGAGAGTGGGTCTGCGTCAAGTGCACTCAAAGGTACTTCAGTGCTGTTACATGGAACAGGCATTATCAGGGAACTTGATCTTGCAGGCATAAAATGATTAGAATGTACCTGTGTATGACGCATCTGTGTTGAGCTAAGAATCAGCTTGGAAGTCCTTCACATTTCCTCTTTGCCCTGGAGCCTGGTGCGTTTGACTTGCTCACTTGCAGATGAGCCCTACTGAATTCTGCTGGACTTCTTTCTGAGTAGTTAGATATGGTTATATGTCGCAGTTAGATCCTCCTACTGTTAGTCAACCATTATCCTTGGGGCAGGTCCACACTGGCCCTTGTGGTGTAGGCTGGAGCCTCGTGGCACAGTGGTTATATGTATTGCAGTCAAGACTCTGCTCACAACGTGTGTTCATTCCCAGCTGGCTCAGGTAGCCAGCTTGAGGCTGGCTCAGCCTTCCATCCTTCTGAGGTTGGCAAACTGAGTATCCAGCTTGCAGGGGTGTTGGGGTGTGTTCAGTGTGTAGCCTGCACAATTATATTGCAAACTGCCCAGAGTGTGTTATAAGCATTATTGGGCAATATATAAGCAGCACACTTTGCTTTAAATAAGGTTGCTTGACCAACGAGCGAGGAGTTAGTTGGCACAGTTCTCAGTCCTTGTGTCCAAATGACATTGAGACCTCAGCTGACCCTCCTGCTCCCTTCAATGTCAATTTAACCCATCCCCTGCTTCTCTATGAAGGGGCAGAGGAAGGGAAATTATTATTATTTTGGCGAATACTAAACTATTGCTGGCACATGGAATCACTTAAATTGATTTTTTTAAAAAATGATTTGTCTTGTGTGTCTCTCATAGGCATCCTTCAGTCTCGAGACAGTACTAAATGATTGCTGACACACAGAATCACTTAAATTGATATTTTTTTAAAAAAATTATTTGTCTTGTATGTCTTTCATAGGCATCCTTCAGTCTCAAGAGACTATGGCAACATGCTCTGTATGGAGGAATTGGAACAGAGTCTAGTGTTTTGATGCTGTATGTGAAGCTGGAGTGTCCTCTTCAGGGCACGAGGTAAAATAATATGGAGGATAGGCTGTTACCCAAGCAGCAAATCCCCCCTCTCCACGTCACTGAAATAGTCCAATGGAGAGGCAAGAGCCAATACAACTGGTTCCAGCGATGTCGCAGGAGTTGACAGAATGACACGAACTGCCTCCGGGACTCCGGCTCCAGATTTTGCCTCAAGGTTAACTCCTGAAACCTTTTCCATCAGTGGATATAGCCACAAGGCAGTAGAGGAGGTTTGAAATCGGAGTTTTCCTTCTCCTAGATGGGCTGCCTTCCAAAGCTGATGAGCCCCACCTACCCGGCCTGCTGCCTCACGGCATGGACGACAATGGTGGTGCCTCAGTGGGGGTTTGAAGTCGGAGTTTTCCTTCTCCTAGATGGGCTGCCTCCCAAGGCTGACGAGGGGGAATGGACTTAGATAAAATCCACCAACTCACACCAAAAAAGTAGGACGCCCCTCAAAAAGATGCAGGTTGGGGTGCCCTGGGGACCAAATTGTTCCACTTATTGTATGGTCTCCAGAAAAAGGAGTGAACCAATCTGTCCTCACAACACACCAAACAGTGGGACAAAATGCCTGTCTGAATGAGCCCTCAGTTTCTTATATATCATAATTACACTGATCTGCCTTAAAGGATTGTTGGGAAAACACAGACATTAAGGGTGTTTCAAGAAGAAATCTGAAGAAACTATTTCAGCTCTAGATCTGTCTGGTATCGGTAATGACTGGATGAGAGTGAATAAACTGAAATTTAATCCAGACAAGACAGAGGTGCCCTTGACAGATCAAGGAACAGGGATGCAGCCAGTACTGGATGGGATTACATTGCTTCTGAAAACACAGGTGTACATCTTGGGAGTGCTTCTGGATCTGTCTCTGAGCCCAGATGGCCAGGTTTCAGTGGTAGCAAGGAGTCCATTTGCACAATTAAAATGAGTGTGCCAGCTGCACCCAGTCCTAGAGAGTCCTGAACTGGCCATGGTGACACCAGCTTTAGTTACATTTTGGCTGGATTACTGTAAAATGCTCTATGTGGTGCTGCCTCTGGAAAGTGTCAAGAAACTTCAGTGGATCCAAAACACACCAGCCAGATTGCTGACTTGAGCTGGTTACTGAGATCATATAACCCTCCTGTTACAGCAGCTCTACCGGCTGCCAATGCATTTCTGGGAACAATTCGAAGTATTGTTTTTAATCTATAAAGCCCTAAATGGCTTGGGTCCAAGCTATCCCAAAGACTGTGTCTCCCATTACGAGCCTGCTCAAGTGTTAAAATCATCAGGAGAGGCCTTTCTCTTGGTCCCATCACCTTCGCAGTTGGGTTTGGTGGGGACACAGGAGAGGAAGGGCCTTCTGTGTTGCTGCTCCTAGACTTTGGAACTCCCTCCCACAGGAGGCCAGGCTGGGCCCATCTTTGCTGTCCTTCCACAAGCAGGCAAAGACCTTTCTCTTCAGGCAAACCTGTTCTCAGTGACTGGTTACCTGAGTGGGATTTTTAAATGGATTGTTATGCCTCACTGCTTTGAATGTTTATCACTCTTATTTACCATTTCTCAGAGGGGTATTTGTTTGATATTTTAAAATATATCTATGCTTATTGTTTTTAGCTTTTAAAGTCGTCTATTAATGTTGTAAGCTGCCTTTGTTAAAAAATAAAACAAACAAACAAACAAATAAGATAAGCCTTACTGCTGTTCCAAGTTTGTGCTCACTCAACTGTGCCCCTTGATGTTGGCCCAGTTCCCACCCACTACAGGCTATCTGTTACTCCAATCTGCCTGCCAGAGCTGCCCAAGATATTTGCCCACTCCCCAGCACAAACTGTCCTCTGTTTTCCCAATGCTGCTGGCATTTCCTGCTGGCATTCCCACTGCTTGGGGTTCCATCAGAATGCCCATTACAGTCATTTCCTAACCCCTAGGCACTGCTGGCTGTTGGTGTGCCCAGTTTGACACAATCACTGAGAAGGCGTCAGAGGACACAGGGAA